ATAAATTTGATTTCTTAACAAACTACAATCTTATTAGCTTTCGAAAACTTCCAATATAAGGAGAGATTTGAGCAAAAATCAGGAAAAAAAGTGTGTTTTCTCTCGTACTAAACTTTTTTGTTTTTGTATCATTTTGTACCTTGATATGACTTCTTCACCATATGAAAATAAGAAAAAATTAAATATACTAAGTATATCTAAATATTTAATGTTCCTTAAAAATTAAGAAAAATAGAGGAAATCTGGATAAGCCAATATTATTTATATTAATTTGGTAGTATTATCTGATAGACCTTATATAATAGATCTTTTTATGCAAAAAGAAAAAAATTAATCTTTTGAAACAGAAGTATAGGTATCAAATGTTTGGCAACATTGATTTTTTTTTATCCCTAATGTCAAGGAAAAGTATAATGACCTTCACCTGACCTTGCATCTAAAATAAAATTTATATTTAAATTAAATTAAATTTAATTCAAATTTTATCATCACTTAGTGATATTGTCTTCTTGAATCTGAGAAAAAAAAAAAAAAAAAAAAAAAAAAAAAAAACCAACTCATTATTTTTAAAATATGAAGATATGTGAAGAATCCCTCCTTAATGAAAATATGAACATATAATGGAATACATAGGCTTAATTTCCATATCAGAAGTCATATTCAGGAATATTTGTTTTGCTTATTTGAAAAATAGATACGTTTTATTAAAAAAGAAAAGAAATGGGATTGAGCAACAGACACAGCCTAAATTAATATAGCCCGGCTTTATCCATTGTGCTTGTTTGTATTCACTACATCGACATGGAATATGGTACTTATCTCATGAAAGTTTGCAGTCAAACTTATTTGCAGGTAAAGTGTTCCATAAAATTCATCATGCCCAGGTAGGGGAAAACAGGTAAATGTGCTTAACGTAAGATTTGAAATATTTGCACCATTGAAGAATATGGTGTCAAATATATATGTGTGTATATAATATTATCTGAATCTTATTGTGATTTTTATATCTAATACTGATTTCAGATTTACATTTCGGAAAATATGCATATATATATATATATATATATATATATATATATATATATATATATATATATATATATATGTTGTCCTAAAGGTGCAGAAGTATAGATAGATAGAATGTTCTAATCGTTAAAATGATATTTATTCTAACTAATGTATAAAAGAATGATATAGCTTTTATCAGCCGTTCAAATCATAACAGCGCATGGGTCTTTTTGCTGATGTTGTTGTCTCGGGCTGATCATTGATCAGATGATGGGGCTAATGTACTTGTAGAGTAAGCTGTATTGATTTACTCCGTTTCATATTTATGTAGTTAATTATCATGTATGTTAATATAATAGAAAAACGGGCTTTACATTTAACACGTTTGGTGTATACACAGTCATTCCTGACCTTCATTTAGTAAGTGGGATATTCCTTTATACTAACGAAAGCGAAAGTAACTTTCAGGTACTGTGCATGTATGGTGGATGAGAAGGGTCACACGTTTTTAAAGGATTTGTAGCTACTGTAGCACTCATTCTTATCGACAAATGCATCATAATTTAATTATACACGCATTCTAAATTTATTGTGCCCAATCGGCCTGTGGAAAAGTAAAAAAAAAAATGTGAATTGAAACTAACATTTATATTTGTCATTTAAAACAAGAAAGTGTATATACATTAAAAAAAAAAAACAGAATTACATACTTAATGCTGTGTTTTGTTGACCTCCTTCGAAATGAATGCATTTAGAAGGCTAATTTTACAGCACAGTATTTACCTGATGTTGATGGGCCATACTTGGAAACGAAAAAAAACTAAAAAATATTACATATATTTAAGATAGCATACATCAAATTTTGTTATTTATAAACATTTATGAGTTTAAGCACATTGGTAAAAGGGATGTGGAGTCTTTGATCCGGTTATTGGTAAAAACAGACATTTTTTTTTTAAGGAAATTATTTTCGTTTTATTTTAACAAGATTTTCAAATCTGACGATAAGTTAAATAATAACAGTATTCCTCAGAGGGTTTCATTATTTGATTCTGTATTAATATTAATCAGGTCAAAGAAACGCACATTATCTAAAATATAAGAATGTAAAACATTTCACCATTACCTAATTACGAAGTGTTTGTTTAATGTCACTCATACAGATAACAAACAAAAATAAATACATCTTTGGGGGAAAATGATTATATTATTTCAAATTATTGAATTTTCTGAATTTTCTGTGTCCTTGACAAAAGATTGAATTGAAAAAGCTATGATTTATCTGAAAGAAAACGTTTAATTTATGATCCCATCTCTTTCCACCATTTAATCTGTTTATTATTTGAAATGCTTAATTGCTTGTAAAACTCAAAAACTAAAACAAAATACCCCCCCCCCCCCCAAAAAAAAAAAAAAAAACCAAAAAAAAAAACAAACTAGTTTTTCAATAATTACAGTTGCATGTTACAAATTTTATAGAGCAATATAGGCCTACATATATATATTTAACGTATAACGTAAAACGTAAGTTGAATTTTAGTACCATTAAAGCATAGACGCATACCTTCTATGCCTAAACACTAAACAACAATTTCAATGGGTAAAATTGGGTTCACAATTAAATATTTCTTGCAAGCAATATAAATGGGAATGGATTCAATTTCGACCTGTTTCTTAGCACCAACATCCACAGCCGTATTTTTTTTACCTGATGTGGTAGCTCCCCCCTCCCCCCTTTCTTCTTAATATAGTGCCGATTCTCCGGAATTGTATTTCCTACGAATAATGTAATGGAGATGTAGTATTGAGCTGTCTGGAGCTTGTCTCTTCCTATTGTGTTATTCAATGCTTAATCGAGATTAAAAAAAAAAGCTTAACAACCTTAATATTGATTATGATATCGTGAGTACATCTAATGTCAACCTTATTCAAGAACCATTTTTTATCTAATTAATGAATCTAGATTATTATATAAATTATAATTATAATTAATATCATTATAAAATTATAAATAATTGTATTGTAATTGATATATGATTATATTTATTGGCGTTGGATGACACAATCATATTATTTTACCAATTCTTTCTAAAAGATATGCAATTTCATTAACAAACACTTTGTCTAATAACAATTCAAATTTTAAAAATTGTCCCTTTCTTATGTAAAATTTAATGGACAAAATGAAATTAAAAAAATCTTCCCTCTTATATTATATATGTTTAGCTTGGTATCATTTTTAAGTGTATAACCATTTTTCAGTTGACGATACTATCAGTTCAGTGAGAGCCCCAACCCTCGTATTCAATACAGTACATTTTTATTCAAAATTTCAGTGTCCCGACACCTAGACTATCGTCAATATCGCGTTTCGACGGATATCACGCAGCCAAACTCATCAAAATGACCAATCTTACCTTTTACCATCAAGTAATCTTGATCTATTTTTGAGACAGCTTTACTGACTTTTAATATTTATTTTTCTATTTAGATTCTACAGTACTTTAAACACTTTTCCTCTCTTTTTCGATGCTACCTTCACTTGTGATGCAGTCACAACAAATCTGACGTCATTTCTTAAAAGGGCCGCTGATTTAATTTAAAAAAGAAAACGATATGAAAAATGGTGTTGATAATAAATGATTAATATTATAATTTCGAAATGTAAACGCAACGCATCTGGCATATTGTCAGATACTGATTTCCCCTGCGGGACATAGAAATATAGACGACAGTCATGTGTCGTGTTTAAACCAACAAATTCGCGACATTTCAATCAGAGGGAAAATAAAATTATATCAGATCCAAAATGAAGTTTCAGTAGGTTTGAAAAATTGCTTTCGCTCCCCGTGCAACTGAACCAGAATTTATCTCTTTTAAAACTTATAAATCAGTAAATAAAATTCACTTGATTGTTTGTATAAAAAAGAAAAAAAAAATTGCTCCATGTTAATGCGCTGGACTGGTAACGCATACTATTGAGCTATCATCGCTACACAAACTCTCAGGAATTTAAAATGACTAAGAAGCAACGCATTTACACATTGGTATTTTTTTTGGAAAAAGTTCATTTTTATAGTCTCTGGGTCTTCTCTCCATATTTTAGAAATGTTTGTTCGTTTCTTTGAATTCAAATGCACACAAATGTCTTTTTGAAATCGTGGAGAGATGACCCAGAGATAGGAAATATTTAGAAAAAAGTGTTTAAAAATGTAATATTTTGTATAAAATGATGCATTTAGCCATGTTTCAAGTTATTTTTAGGGAAATCAAAACACACTATTGGGAAAATGTTTTCCTTCCCTATTTCACAGGAACATGATACATCAAAAGAATGTTTGAATTTAATTTTACAGTTCAATAAAGTTTTCACTTTTCAAGTGCGCCCCGATTCCTGCCGAATGTCAATCAAAAGCGCCCTCGTTCCTTCTAACCGAGCTTCAGTTCTCTTTGAAAAAGTGTCAAAGTGTACATATACCTCAAGAATAGTCTGTAGATGCGTGGGTAAATTTTTCACTTAATCGACTTTTCTTCAGAGCCAACTACAATCAAAGTTATAAACGAAGAGATTAAAGTTCAGTTCAAATTAAATGTAAGATCCCAAACACTAACTTACAAATTCAGTTTGCTACATGTGAGTAGGCAATACAAATTAATGAATGTGCATGAAATTACTTCTCATTTATTCTGTGTGATTACTACGCAAAGCTAAATCAAATTAACTATGCGCATGGGTAATAGATATTTTGAGTACAAATTAAATCAATTAGTTGCTAAAAAGAAATGTGTATATTGTTTGGAAATGCATACAAATTTTATACATAATTATCAGTGTACTTCATAGTAACTGCCAAGTGATGTCAGATATGAACTTGAGGTTTTTACAACTTGCATTAGATTGATGCTTAGTATAACACTTTTATGGGAAGATGCCATTTGTCCAAATTAATTTTTAGTCTAGCTTAATATTTTGATTTCTGAATAGTTGGAATTACTGAAAAAAAGACAAGCAACTAACAATGACCAAAGCTATCATACCTCCTTCTATTGGTGAGGACTTGTGTTGAAGAGCTCTTTTTATATTCAGGTAGAATCCACTATCATCAAATAATTATATGCATTTGGTGTAAATCGATATTGCAATACTATCGTTATCTGCTTTACATACATATTTTTACTATATTAACTTGTTCATACAGTGCAATAGACATGATTCAATGGTCAGGAGTTTTATGTACCCTACTATTGGTGACAACATATGGAGTTGTTAGATCCCTTAAGTGCCCCACTACAGCGAGTGAGTGGGATAGGGCGTCACGTGGACTTCAGTGTCAGGAACCTAATTACTATCATTGTCTGAGGGACGAGTCCGGAGTAAACACAGAACAATGTCTACCCCGAGTCTGGATACAGCCACGTATGTGTCTCATAATTATCTACATTCACTATCGGATTCAACTTAAACGAGTGTGCACATTTAAATTTTTAAGCTCTCTAAGTATAGATATAAAACGTGTAAAGAAAAGATTGAGAGTCACTTGCCTATTAAGTAACTTTTTTTTTTTTTTTTTTTTTTTAAAAGTTAACGTTTTAAGATATTTAAGATATTAAGATATTTGTTAAGTTGTGAAGATATTTGTGCCATTGGCTCAAGTGAAAACTTTTGTGATAAATGAAACGATTGCCTTCTCACTCTATTGTAAGCTTTTCAAAATTGAAGCTCTGTGCCCATAAGAGTTCATACCCTTTAGTTAAAGAATTACTTGTTTTACAAGGATATTTGTCAATTTATAAATTCTTTAACAGTGTTAAATATATTTTTATACTTGTTTGGTTATATTCAGAAATGTGTCCAGAATTCAACTCTCGGGTGTCCAGAGTCGATGTGTACCAGTGTACTGTGACCAACTGTCCCACATCTCTGTATTGGTCCAATGCTGTGTTCATGTGTAAGACCATTATTTGCATGTGTTATTTAAAATGTTAAATATTAAATGTTTTGTTACGAATATATTTTAATTACAAATTAAGCAATTAATTTTTATTACTTTGTTATTATTATGACTTAAAAAAGGAAAGATTAGACCATCTTTAAAAATATGTTTGCTTGCTCTCTCCCGACTCAGTATAAAAATATTGGGTCGGTAGGTGGGGGATTTTTTTATTCACAGGCACTTGCAGATATGATGTATTAGTTACTTATGGGGTGAAAAAAAACTTAGAAATGAAAAAATAAAACATGAGTATCTTTTGGACGTCAGGGCATTTTTAGACAGTCTTTCGGGAGAGGACAAACAGACATTCTTTTTTTTTTTTTTTTTAAAGTTAATTGCATCAATCACAGATTATTTGAGATTGTACATATATTTTGTTGTAATTTTTATCAAAATTTTTTGTCAGATGATATAACAAAAATGTAAGGAAATAGGTATTACAACTATTACTTACATTGCTTGGAGTCATTAGAATATATACGATTTAAGAACTGTGTTCCCATATTCTGTGTGTTCTTTACAGAAGAGAGAACTTCAATCTTTAAAGGGAATTTTTATTTCATTTAACTCAATTAAAAATAAGAAAACAGAATAGTAAATTAAAAGAGCTCACACAAATGTATCTATCATAGAGTAGTTGATAGGACCTTTTTCACTTTTCAGTAGAACGATTCATTTGCAATGATTGAGACATTATCTTTGCTTGTTTCCAGCTCTTTATTTATATTCAAAAGCAGAAATTTATATTGTGCTTTTCTATCTTTTTTTTAATTTTGGCATTTTGAAGAAAAAAAATTTTCACTTTGTCAATCAGTTTTGAATAAAATTCTCTGATCACTAAGCATTATAGCTCAGATGTGGACCTGCAACATTTTTTGCACTGAATATTTACATTTTGCTTGTGCTGAAAAGTTTTTTTTTCTAGTTTTTCAATATTTTGATATATTATCTTCTGCTCTTTTATATCTGCACTTACCTTCAAACAATTGATATTACCTTTTTGATGCTTGAAAATGTTGACAAACTAAGCTTTTAAATATTAGTAAATAATACATTTGCATGATTATTATAGAACATTGCTGAATAAACATAAAGAAAACCCAAAATATTCTCAGAAAAGCTTTAGTGCTTTTATTACACTCAGTTGTAAATATCACAGAGTCACCACGAGTTAATTATCAAACAGAAATGAGTTAGAGATTTAAATACTTACAATTTAATGTATTTATAATTTGATGGTTATATCAAACATTTTGTTGCTCAAGAAAAATGCTTAAGGTTTTTTTTAAATAGAAACTCTTGACAAATTTAAGACCTACTAGTATATACATGTACATTAATGAAAGTTTCATACTGTTTCCCCTTTCTCTTACAGACCCCATTTGTTTTGAAAATGGATCAACAATTTCACCTACAAAGCAAGGGTAGCTGCAAATTTCTTTATAAGTTTCTGATTATTTTTAACTATCATCAAAACAATAAGATTCAAAAAAAGAATTCACCAATGAACATCATTTCAGGTCAACAGTAGCTACAACAGTATTGGAAGAGACTTCCATGTTTGATACTATGACAGATTCAGTGGCGTTTAAAGGAGACAAGTCTGCTACTGATAAATCTCTCCCTGTAGCCACCATTGTAGGAATCATTGTAGGTGTCATATGTGTGGGCATGGTCGGAGCTCTCATAATCCTGATGTATTTAAAAAGAAGATACAAAAAAGGAGACAATGGTAATTGATATTATAAAGTTTGCTTTTTTGTGCATCTTTTGGAGAAAAAAAAATGAATTGTAAAATATTCCACTGAAATGTGCTTACGTGCCACTAAAGAATTGAAATTGAATTGAATTTATGTACATACATGTATATGATGTTGATTTCTTACTATTACTATTAAATTGTAGCTGATAAAGATTCAAACATCATAACCCCCCCCCCCCCCCAAAAAAAAAGACAGTTATTCCTTTAGTAAATCTAAACTTCATGATGATATTCACTTTTGGTTTGTAGAAAAGTAACTTACTATTCAGTCATTTGAAGTTTTGAACAAAACAAAAATTACTTAAGTTCTATCAAAGCATTAGAATTGACAAACCTTGTGTTCACTTAATTTTGTCCATAAACATCACAAAATTAAATTCAGTCAGTATGGGCTATCCTGTAGACTTACCTGAACATTTCTGGGTGCTTTCTCTTGATTCCATGTTTGAAGCTTTATCAGCTACAATTTAATATAACACTAAGAAAATACTGCTGCAATCTCATGAAGTGTTGGTGATCTGACTTTTTTATGTCTAAGTATTTAATAAAAACAAGAGATGTTTGTGAAACATTTATCCCTTCCCTCCCCCCCTCCCCCCAATAATTGGAATTTTTCTAAGTTTATGGGGCATAACTCTGTCAAAAATTGCTCGATCGTACCCAAAACAGAACTTGACCTAGATATTTTTATGATAAATCTGTATACCAAATTTCATTTCAGTATGTGCAACCTCTGCAAAGAAAATGAAAAGAAGCTGCAAATAATTGGAATTTCTCAAAGTCCAAGGGGCATAACTCTGTCAAAAATTGCTCGAGCGTACCCAAAACAGAACTTGACTTAGATATTTTTATAATAAATCTGTATACCAAATTTCATTTCAGTATGTGCAACCTCTGTGAAGAAAATGAACAGAAACTGTTGGTGGTCCGACAGACAGACCGACCGACCGATCGACCGACCAACAGACAGCAGCAAAGCAATATACCCTCTCTTCTTTGAAGGGGGGCATAAATATACCTAGGATTTTCCTTGTTAAGCTTATGGTTAGAGTAACATATAATGTTAATTCTGTATGGCATAAATAACTTTTATGAAGTATTTTTTCAGATGGAAATGTAAAAAGTGAAGACAACAAACTGTCTGGTGAGTTCACATACAACTATACAAAAACAGTTGATTTTTGTTAAAATTTCTTTAAAGATAAAATGTAAATCAAATCCCCTGCAAGATGAATAATGAAGATGATTTTTGTCCCCAGATTTATAAAGTAATTTTTTTTCTCAAAATATTAGAAATGATCTTTTTTTTGTAGAAGAAGTTAAAAATGAAAATGAAATCAATGAAGCCAGTGAACTGTTAGGTAAGTTTGACTGGAAGTCAAGAATCGTTGAAACTGTCCATCAATACTCCCTCCCCCCAACAACAAAATAAACACAACAAAACAATAGTTTATTGTTTGTAGCACTTTTTTTTATTTGCAAAGGCTGTGATAATGTTTTGTTTGTAGGAACAAGGAAATGATAAAGTAATCATCAAAACAAAATAAAACATGAGTTTTTACAACTCATAAACATATACCACATAAAAATAACAGAGTAATTTGATGATCCTTGCTATTTTTTAAGGTATTGATAGTTACACAGAATGCAAGGAATCCATGAAAGATAGATATCAAGGTAATTTTTGTGAATTTTTATGAATTATGACATGTTCATTTTCATACCTTCAAAGGTGATAAGCTGAAGCTTAAAAATGTCATTCCAGTTTATGTTGTCGGAAATTGGAAACCAAAAAAGCAGACCAGTGTTCAAGAACGTGAAAATTCTGTGCGAGTTCTGGTGTTATTGGTAAATAAACCAATTAACCGGGTGGAGATGGACTCAAAGGCTGATAAAACGTTTGGACCAAATTATGATTATTGTTGGACTGTTTCTTATAATCAGAAGAAAATGAATAGAAACTGTTGGTGGACAGACAGACAGACAGACCAATCGACCGACCAACAGACAGCAGCAAATTGATATGCCCTCTCTTCTTCGAAAGGGGGGGGGCATAAATATACCTAGGATTTTCCTTGTTAAGCTTATGTTTAGAATAACACACAATGTTAACTCTGTATGGCATAAATAACTATTAATAAGTATTTTTTCCTAGAAGGACATGCAGATGGAAATGTAAGAAGTGAAGACAACAAACTGTCTGGTGAGTTCACAAACACCTATACAAAAAAAAGTTGATTTTTGTTACAATTTCTTTAAAGATAAAATCTAAAATAACCCCCCTACAAGATGAAATAATGAAGATGATTTTTGCCCTCAGAGTTATAAAGTAATTATTTTTCTTCAAAATATTAGAAATGATTTTTTTTTGAAAAAGAAGTTGATGATTAAAAGAAGTTGAAAATGAAATCAATGAAGCCAGTGAACTATTAGATAAGTTTGACTGGAAGACAAGAATCGTTGAAACTGTCCATCAATACCCCCTCCCCCCAACAACAAAATAAACACACAACAAAACAATAGTTTATTGTTTATACCACTTTTTTATTTTCGAAGGCTGTGATAATGTTTTGTTTGTAGGAACAAGGAAATGATAAAGTAATCATCAAAGCAAATTAAACATGAGTTTTTACAACTCATAAACATATACCACATAAAAATAACAGAGTAATTTGATGATCCTTGCTATTTTTTAAGGTAATGAAAATTTCACAAAATCCAAGGAATCCATAAAAGATGGATATCAAGGTAATTTTTGTGAATTTTTATGAATTATGACATGTTTATTTTCATACCTGCAAAGGTGATAAGCTGAAGATTAAAATTATCATTCCAGTTTATGTTGTTGGAAATTGGAAACCAAAAGAGCAGACCAGTGTTCAAGAACGTGAAAATTCTATGCGAGTTTTGATGTTTTTGTTGTGTTAACTCTATATGGCATAAATAACTATTAATAAGTATTTTTTACTAGAAGGACATGCAGATGGAAATGTAAGAAGTGAAGACAACAAACTGTCTGGTGAGTTCACATACAACTATACAAAAAACAGTTGATTTTTGTTACAATTTCTTAAAAGATAAAATTTAAATTAAATCCCCTACAAGAGGAGGTAATGAAGATAATTTTTGCCCTCTGATTTATGAAGTAATTTTTTTTTCAAAATATTATAAATGACTTTTTTTATACATATTGTAGAAAAAGTTAAAAATGAAAATGAAATCAATAATACCAGTGAACTATTGGGTAAGTTTGAATGGAAGTCCTCAGTCAGTGAAACTATCCATCAATACCCCACTCCCCCCAACAACAAAATAAACACACAACAAAACAATAGGTTATTGTTTATACTACTTTTTTTTTATCTGCAAAGTCAGGGAAACTAGAGGTGAAAATGGTTTGTTTGTAGGAACAAGAAAATGATAAAGTAATCATCAAAGCAAATTAAACATGAGTTTTTACAACTCATAAACATATACCACATAAAAATAGCAGAGTAATTTGATGATCCTTGCTCTTTTTTAAGGTAATGAAAGTTCCACAAAATCCAAGGAATCCATAAAAGATGGATGTCAAGGTAATTTTTGTGAATTATTATGAATTATGACCTTATTTTCCTACCTTTAAAAATGATGAACTGAAACTTAAAAATGTCATTCCAGTATATGTTGTTGAAAGTCAGAAACCAAAAGATCAGACAAGCGTTCCAAAAGATGAAAATTCTGTGCGAGTTCTGGTGTTAGTGTTAAATAAACCAATCAACAAGATGGAGATGGACTCAAAAGCCAAGGAAACGTTTGGACCAAAATATCATTATTGCTGGACTCTTTCTTATTATCAGAATCACAAACAAAAGGAAAATGTTTCTTTATTCCCACAAAACTTTGACTTTCAAACTGTAAGGGTAAAGGAAATCTTTGAGATGATACGTGATGTTGTTACTAAGAATGAGGTGGATATCAACTTTGTTATAACAATGCCATGGAGTGTATGGTCTGCACAGAGAGATGAACTTTCTCCTTTTCTTGATGAAAATAAAAATCAAATTTATTTTAAACGTGAATATTGGTAATATATGCCCAAACAATGAGAAAAATAAAGGAAGAGAAAGAGAAACTATCGATAGAAGCAGTTCTTTACAGTGATTTGATACGTCAATAGAGCAGTGAGACAATTTCAGTCCTACCATATGCATGGCATCATGATCATGGATCATGGCACCTGATCCCACCTCTGATGTTTGGAGGTCCGTGTTTGCTCTGCTCCTATTTTGTATTGTTTGATGAACTTTTGAGCTTGAATACTGTTCGTTATCTCCATATATTTCATTGTATAGATGATGATGATATAAGGATTTTTATTTTTAAATCATACTTTGATGCATGTAACAATTTCTTATATAATATAAAGAATAAAGACATACAAATAGGTAGGAGAGTACCTATAGGAATCTCAATTTACATAAGGAATTTTTCTTTTAATAAGTGATTTGTATAAATGATGTATGCTCTCAAACACTGCCTGGAATTTTATGTACTTCATATGGTTTTATATTTTGTTTGATTTTAATAGTTGAAAATCTCTATGAAGGCTTTTACATTTTTATTTTACTTTTTTAAAAAGAATTAGTAAGATATTATGTGTCTTTTGAAAAATATTAGTACCTCAATAAGAAAAACAGGCATTAGTTAAATAATTACATGTTTATATAAAATTTACTGAAAAAATAATATGATTGATATGCTGTTCATAGACTATTGTGATAAACATGTATGTAGAGTAGATGGCATGATTTCCAACTGCCTTAGCTTTAGTGATTTATTTTTTCCTCAGTTATTGTCATGTTTTTTTTTGTGATGTGTTCAATTCCACAAACACTGGCCTTGTGTATAGTTTTCTTGATGGGAGTTAGATGGAGATTTGGGGAGGGAGGGATTGGGGTGGAGTTTTGGTAAGGGGAGGACAGAGCCAGGAATTACCCTAAGAACAAGGGGAACAAATTTACCGTTGTTGCTTTAATGTTGTAGTATGTCGTTAATTGATCTGAATTTAGTTCAAAATGCATCACATTTTCACCTTTTATACAGAGATAGCCATTTCTTTAAGCACTTCAAATTGTTTATGGGTAATTAAAATCGAGTATGTCTCACAGATTTTTGTCAATAAATGCTATTGATTCATGTAATATTCATTTATCAACGTGCAAGTGAGATGCAAGATATCTTGTTGTGCAGTAAAAAAGCAAACAAATGAATTTTATTGAATTTTTTAAATTTTTCCAGAGTTCAGAGGGGCTGGAACTTGTTGCATGCCGTATAATTTAGTTGGTAGTGGACCTTTTCAGAGTTCAGAGTGGCTGGGTTCTCTCGCTTGTCTGTCCTATAAATCTGTTTCTTTTGTTTTAAATTTTTTTTCATTGGGTTTTCTTAGACAACCTCTCCAATGAAAGCAAAAGGAATTCCTGAAGGGATATGATTTTTAGCTCACCTCAACGTAGTTGGGGGAGCTTATGTAATACCCTCGGCTTCGGCGTCCCAGGTTAAGGTTTTTGGAGCACTTTCTTTTCAAGTACTTCTATAGCCTATATTAGTCAGAGATGCACGGAGGATGCTTCTAGTGTGTTTTATTGTACCAGTCAAGGTTTCAGATGCTGCAATTTCAGCTAAAGAATGACCAGGTTAATGTTTTTGGAGCAGGTTAAAGTTTTTGGAGCAGGTTAAAGTTTTTGGAGCAGGTCTCATTTCCAAGTAACTATAAGCCCTATATTGACCAAACTTGCATGGATGATACATCTAAGGATGCACACTACTGGACTTGCTTCGGATGCTGGATCTGATCTATATTTTATGGATGAGTGACCAGGTTAAAGTTTTTGGAGCAGATCTCATTTCCAAGTAACTATAAGGCCTATCTGAACTAAACTTGCATGGATGATGCATCAAGGGACGAACAATCTCAAAACTTGCTTCGGATGCTGGATTTGACTTACATTTTCTGGATGAGTGACTAGTTTTAAGTTTTCAGATAAGTCTATTCCCAAGTAACTGCAAGCCCTATCAGATCAAAATTGCATAAATGTTGCATCTAGGGATGCACACTCCTAGATTATTGGTTTAGTGTGGGACTTTGCCTTACTTAAAGACAACATTCGTTGAGGTGAGCTCTGTAATCTCTGATTACCTATGTATTTGCTAAATAATTTCAAAGTTTGCTTTTATATTGCCAAAATGTTGCATTTATGGCGTTATCTATGACAACAACGTCATGTGTTGAACGTAATCACGTTTATATACGATTATAAACATCTTTACATTTGGAATATGCAAGATCTAAAAGGTGACATAGTTGCAAAATGTAATTTTATTCATCATTTCACTTACTGTGGAAACATGTTAGGATGATCAGCAACTTATTTACACTAGTATTGTGAAATTCATATTCTGCCCACAAAATCAGAATGAACGGTATATTATTATACACATTTCTAGTGTATTAGAATTAACATACAGCGACAACACGGCGAGTGATAAAATATTAATTCGTGTATTTTTAGGATGTTCATGTTCAGTAAGATTTCAGGCTTAACACATGAATTTGATCACTTCAATCGAAAAGGCGAGGATCGAAAAAACATCCCAATACTGAGAAAAATGGGGGGGGGGGGTTTACCGGCAATGCTCTTTCTAGATTAATCACAAGCTGGTATATAGTCCTAACTATCAAACATTTCTCAAATTCGAATTCTCTCAGTCAAATCTCCATACGCAAAATGTAAAACACTTGCATTTAGCTTTTACACAGAGAGCTTTTCTTATATAGAAAAAATGTACTTGAAATTTGTAAGTTTTTTACAGTGTCATATAGGTCTGATAGTCCCGGTGTTTGTCAAAATTTATTTTTTAAATGCTTTCACAATTTGTTGGCCTGCATATACATAGTGACTACACGAGATTCAAATACAAAATAAACAAATAATAATTATGATGATTGAAATAATAATAATAAATAACAGGAAAATACATGTACTGTTATTAAATTTCATCCGTTTTTAGTGTTGAGGATTGATTCCATCCTGAAAAAGTTTCGCCCCGGCAAACATGGTGTAATATACACTTCCCTTTGAGGTGCAAATTACGTGCGCACATACAACCCTTCAAGTTTTTGGCTAAAAAAAATTACGATAATTTTCTTTTTACATATCATAACTTTTACGCTGACTCATTTTGATTGACTTTTAGCAGTTTGTAGTAACACTTACATTATAAATTATTCTTTTCATTTGTTATCGTATTTAGTTTGTTCTAAGACATTACACATACTCACATCAGAATTCAGACTGTCATTTAATAATACCCGATCTTGGTTCATACATGTATGAGGTTTACGTACAGTAGCATGCACTTTGAAATAATCTACTTGATTCGTACATGTAGACTAATGATGAAGTTATTTTCAGAGAATTTTACGGGAAACAACACAACGTCGCCCTTGTGACCTAACTGACGTCATAATCAAATGTGCACAAAACAACTGCTCGAATCGTCGAAATTGTGTACCAAAATTGATGACAAAAGCAAACCCGCGACCTACCTTAAGTAGTGTAGGTTCATGTTTGTTCCAATCATGCCCCCAGGGGTAGGGTGGGGCAACAATGGGGGATCAAAGATTTCCATAGGAATACATAGGACAAATCTTCAAAAATCTTATTCTCAAGAACAGCACAGTCATGATTGATCATTTTTATATGGAAGTATCCTCAGGTAGTGTAGATTCAAGTTTGTTCAAATCATAGCCCCCAAGGGGTGGGGTTAGTCCACAATGGGCGACAGAGTTTTACATAGGAATACATAGAAAAAATCTGTAAAAATCTTCTTCTCAAGAACAGCAAAGCCATGATTGGTCATATTTATATGAAGTATCCTCAGGTAGTGTAGATTCAAGTTTGTTCAAATCATGACCCCCTGGGGTAGGGTGGGACCACAATGGGCCATCAAAGTTTTACATAGGAATACATAGGAAAAAATCTTTAAAAATCTTCTTCTCAAGAACAGCAAAGCCATAATCAGTCATATTAAAATGGAAGCATCCTAGGGTAATGTAGATTCAAATTTTGTTCAAATCATGACCCCCCAGGAGAATAGAGGGGCCATAACAGGGAATCATAGTTATTCTAAGGAATACAAATGATTAATCAATAAAAAATGTCTTCTTAAGAAAGCAAAGTCATTATTTGTCATATTAATTCAAAAGCATCCCTATGAAGCATAGATTCAAATTCATTCAAATCAGCCCCCCCCCCCTTCCGAACCAATTTTATATCAAAACTTTTCAAGACTGAACTGATTTCTGCTTTTTCCTAGCCAGAGTGAGCAGGTGAGCGATGTGGCCCCAGGGCCTCTTGTTCCAAGAAAAAAGAGTGTTTTTCCCGAATTTTCCTGCAGCCATCGTGTAAGAAAAGATTTGAATGGAATTTTCTTACAATCAGTAATTGACTGTTTTCATATCAAAAATTTAAATACATGTATTTTAAAATATAAAATATATTTCACACATCTTTTTAAATTCAAAACGTCCTTTCTAACATGTCTATAGGTTGTGTTAGGCTCAACTAGAATTTTAGTGTAAAAAGATAAGCCCTTTTTATGCATACCGAAGTTCAAATAAGCTGAATGGAGTTCTATTGGTGAAGCAATAAAAAGATTTAAAGAACCTTTGAACAATGTGCACTATTTAACAGGTATTGATTAACAATTGGAGAAACGAAAGTAGGGTTGTATTTGTCACTGGTTCCTTCTAGAAACTCAGGTATATTGTACTTCATGAATATTTTTAATGTATTCATGGTGTATTTCGTTGTTGAACGTGTAGTGTGTATTAGTGTTTATTATACCTATATTAAGAATACTCAAATTTGATTGGCTTGTTAGAAGGCTATTAATTTCAATAATGACTCCAAAAAGTACCATTTACAACAATAATGACCTAGGAATCATTGCAAGTGGGGTATAATGACCCGGTCATTATAAATAATGACCGCTAAAAATGACCTGTTAATCTAAATTCCATTCAAATTTAAAAATTAATGCATACAGTAATGACTGTTCATTACAAAAAATGCCGTTATAAAAATATTAGTCTTTTTATGATACGGAATACGATTGTCCTTTAGATGCGTCATAAAATTAATCGTTTTCATTGAAACTTTCGTTACAATGTCAAATTCAACGAATGCAGACTTGGCTCTTTTGTACAGTAAAAGTCTGCAACAGATTGTCATTGTACTCGGAAATGGTATTTGTGAATTTATAAAAATGCATGTTACTGACAATCACAGAGTGTTTTAATAAATCGGCGGTGCAAAAACTTACAAGACTTGCAGGCGAAAAGTAAACAAATTCACTGGCGAATCCCGATCCCGATGAAATTCGTAACATAACAATCACTTGCGTATTAGACCTAGTATTCAAGCCTACAAAAATTGTCTTAACTTATATCGATATAATAAAACAATTGATTACCCCTTGTGAGTTCAACATGGTGAAATAAGGACCCTCGACCTGGCCCACTCGCTGACCTGACCTGACTTCGGCCGCTACGCAGCCTCGGTCAGGTCAGGTCACCTCGTTGGCCAGGTCTCGGGTCCTTATTTCACCATGTTAACCTCATAAGGGGT